GTAGGATTAGAGCTGTAAAATGCCTGTTGGATTTATCAGCATGAAGATCCGTCGGTGACCTCACCGAGACTCCGTTCTGCTGAGTGATGCGTGTAGAGGGAAACAGCCTGGGTCCGGGTGAAATGTGAACAGAAAATGAGGTTATGGAGTCTGGGAGCACAGACAGCTCTTCTGTGAAGTTTGCTGTGAAAGAAGAGACTGAGCAGTAGCTCCAAGGGGATGAAAGAATCAATAGACCTTTTTTTCTAAGACGGGACCTTCTGAAAAATTGAAAACAACATTTGGGGACCCTTCACCCATCCCTCGGACCCCAGCGAAACAGAACTAATTGATGGCAAACACTCAGACCTCCCAAACACCCAAGCCCCCTTCACTCAATGCCTCCAGCTTGTGAAGGGAAAGTTATTTTCCTTTGATATTCCCCCTTCCCCGGCCCCCTTCCAAATCTCATTAGGAAGTCAAATTAGGAAGCCTCCACGCAGCCAAGTTCTGTTGTGCAGACACAGCCGGCCCCTCCTCACCGAGCCTGCTCGATTGAGGTTAATGGGATTCAACCTCCCTTGGGCCAGCGGAAAGCCGGGGTGACCTACTTTGTGAGGTCCTGCCCCTGGAAACTGACTTGTTTTTCAATGATCTTCATCTTTACCCACAGGACCACTTCTCAAAGGACAGCCACGAAGGAACAAATTAGCCGCTGACTTGTTTAGCTCAATAAATCAAGCTGTGGCTCCAGCAGCCCAGAGCACAGGTAGAGACAAGGAAAGACAAATTCTCAACAAAGCCCACATCCGTCACTGGCTCCTCTGGCGCCTGAGTAGAAAATGCCCAGGTTCCCTGCAAATCAATCCTGAGTTGCCACTACCCAGTTCCTCTGGGTTAGTCTGGGTGGTAGGAATTACTGGAACTTTTAATAAGAATTTTTAGTTCTTTATAAAATAGTATAATTTAAAAAAAAAAAAGAATTTGTATTCCCTTTGATATAGTCCCCTTAATTATTATTCCCAGCCACTCTGTTTAATTAACATTTGATCACACAATGGTCCATGTTTTCAAGACAGATGAGGGGCAGGGGTATTGGAGACGTGGTCGCCCTCACAGAAATCCTGCTTCTGGAGGATCTGGGTCCCATAATCACCCAAGACATGGTTCCCCATCAGGTCAGAGATGTCGTTCTCTCAAATCAGGGCTGAAGGCACAGGACCCTCCCTGCCCCCTGTAGCACTTGGCCAGGTCCACTGATGTCCTCCAGACTGTAAAGGAAGATTGGACTGGAGGATCTAATGAGCCAGATGGACCTGGAGCCCTAGATGCCCCCAGGTTACATACAGTTTGCCAAGTCAGGAAACCTCACTCACACCTTCCTCCACCTATGCAGGACTTCGACTTAGTACATGGTTCGAGCGCCCTCCAGTGGCCATATTGAGTTTCTGCACACCAGAAGCTTTTTATTGGGGATTATTTGAAATAGGAGATGAAGGACAGAACCCGGTATATGAGTGACCTGAGTCTCACTGGTGTGGATCTGTTAATTTGGAAGGGGATAATAAGTCTCTAAAAGGACCATAAAAATCCTTTATTGACGCTTCTCTTTTGTGGTGTTTTTGGAAGTTTTGTTTAGAAACTTTTTTTTATCTATTGAGATTGTGATATTTTTCTTACAGATTTGGATTAGCTCTGTAGATGCAATAGGTATTAACATTTGTCAGTCACACTAGAGGGAGACCATTTTGCCAACATGTTATTTTTTCTCTCTAATTCAATACTGCTGTTTTCATTACACAGCTGTTTTTAGTTGATGTCTAATTCAATTAATTACCTTTGTGATTGCTTTTATCGTTGCAAAGCTGATCAAATTAGCATTTCTCCAACAGATCAGAAAACTTGACCTTTCTTCTAGGATCTGGTTGTTTTCCATTTAATACTGGATTTTGGTGGGGGGGAGTGTATGATATTAGATATGAATCCCATATTATTTTATTGCAATTAGGTAAGCCCACCCCTACTTGTTGCGCAATCTTTTCTTTCCCCTTAATATTGAATAGATCCTTCTCCAAAGTTTATGGGATCTCCAGTCTGTGCTACTAATTTATATGTATTTCTTATTCCAAATATTACATCATTTTAATTAACATGCTTTATGATAGATTCAGTTGTATGTTATGTGCAGATCAACTGTCTTTGCAAGAAAACTGATTAAAATGTAAATCCTACAAATAAAAATGAAACCAAATTAACTAAATACCATATATGGGCAAATGTGGCATCTGAAAGCACATGAATAAGAATTTTTATTGTGGTTTGGACAAATTAAAAAACTCCAATCATATCTAGTACTTCCTAAAGAAAATTCACATGTATTCTTACCCATTTCATTACTTTAAATAGCATTTTATTATAGAAGCAATAAATACGTTGAGGTGATTTTTAAATTAAATGTGAAGGTCAAAGGAAGTACAAGAGCTCCATATTCATTTCTTAGATTAATTCATTTATTTCAACAACTATTTGAGAATTACTGCACACCAGGTTCTAAGCCAGGCATTGAGATATATCTGTGAACAAGACAAAAATGGTCCCTCTTCTATAGGAACACAGCACAGAAGGTGGGAATTAAACAAGACACTCCATAAAAAATACTAAGTTCAACACACTCTGGGAAGGTACACCAGGGGTCCTAAGCCACTGAGACGAAGTCAAGGGACATATTATGTAAGCGAGGGGTCAGTTGGGGGGGTGAATTTTCCAGTCAAGGGTACAAAAAAGGATGTAACTGAAGATATTGAAAATCGCTCCCAGGCCCTTAAAGATTCAAATGTTTCATATTACCCAACCTAAGGTTAGGCATTTGCGCAGGAGTTGGTTGCTGCAAATTTCCTACCTCTTGAACTATGTACCAAGGATTATAGGATACCTCACTCAGATTACAGATTTGGCCAAAATGTATTTGCAGAGAACAGTTTGCATAAATCCTTATCAAACACAAGGTTCTCAGATTACATCTATCGCTGGGCAGTGTAGCCAGAGGGTGTTGAGTGGAGGGTTGGTTTGGTTTCTCCAGCTCTGGATTCCTCAGTAGAGCTGTTTTTGTCCCCTTGGGTTGTCATGGTAAATAGTGTCACCAGTGGGGTACAGGACATGAACCACTAACCTGACCCAAAGCCACACGCTCAGGGAGAGGGGAAGGTAATAGGTAGAGAGGTTGGTCTCTGTGGCGGTGAGAGACGAAGCCTGCTCTCCAAGGCCTTGCTGGACTTCCAGGGGTCACGAGCCAAGGAGGGCTAGGGCATGCAGCAGCCCCGCCCAGGGGCCAGTGCTCTCTGTCTGGCACTTAATGGAAGGTAGGCGCCGGACAGTGTCCTAGTAGTCCCTAGGTGAGCAGTGCCGCAGCTCCCCAGACTGCAAGAAACCAGGTGTTTAAGGAGCTGGTGAAACCGCTGACCCGCATACCAGGAAATGCACACACGGGGAAAGGATAATGGGCATAGGTGTCAGCAATGATAACCCGTTTGGGGATCCCTATTTTACAGACTGGGACACTGAGGCGCAGAAAGGTTTGCTAACTTGTTCAAGGATACCCCGCTCTACGAGGCAGTGCCAGGATGCACCCCAGGTTTTCCTCTCTCTCTGCTCACTGTTCGATCCCATCTGGCCTGCCAGGGCCCAAGGGCTCCAATTTGATGAGGCCGAACCAGGTCTGGAGTCAGTGCTTTCTGGGAACAGGTGAGGACAGCCAGAAGCAGCTGGTCCCAACAGAGGGACACAGGGACTCCTAAGCAGCTGAGGTGGACCAGCTGCCAGCTCGGAACAGATAAGCTGGTCCCCGGCCGAGGATTCCCCACAATTAGCAGCCTGGTGTAGAGTCCGCCAGAGCTGCCTTCAAACCTCAGCCGCTGTTAGAGCTAAATCTGAACCTCTCTACACTTTGCTTTCTTCTCTCCAAAACGATATAATAATTCTAACCCCGCAGGATAGTCAGGGGGGTAGGGAAATAAAATAAGTCAGGTCTGCCACTGTGTGCTGACTGACGCTAATCCTCCAACCAAGCCCCTCGGTGGGCCACCGCCGTTGATCTCCTACAGCCCTGGCCACTGCTGAGACTCTTGGCAACACGAGGACAGAGGTGGAAGAACTGCCTCTTGTAGCTCAGGGGCTGTCTGCCCCAAGCCTCTGGCTCTATGGCTGGGCCCCTGCTCCCGCCTGGAGGAAATGACTCAGCGGGCTGCCAGGGCGTCTTGCTGCAGGAAGCCCCTAGAGGGCGATGGAGGCAGCAGGACCTGCTGTAGGTCTCAGTACCTAGAGAAATGGGCAGGGCAGAGGATTTCAAAATGGATGAGGAAAAGAATACTGACCTAGAGCAAATATGGACTTGGGTTGTGGTCTCCATTCTACCACTTCACTTTGTGGCTTTGGGCAAGTCACATAACCCTTCTGAGCCTCAGTTTCCACATCCTTAAGTTGGAGTCAGTTATCCCGTTCTGAGAATTCAATGAGAATGTATAGGAAAAGATTTGGGCTGTTGTCAGCCAGTTTTCATTTGCAAAGTTCATCTCACATCCAATGCAACTGGGCTCACATAGAGCACAAAGTATTTGTTCATTCATTTATTCAGAAACATTACGGAGCATCTGCTCCAGGCAAGGCAGTGTTACAGGAACTGGAAAGCCAGCCATGAAGAAGGCAGACAAAAGCTCTGCATTGCCAGAGTTTGCAGTCCTGTGAGAGGTGACAGTCAATAAATAGCTAAACAAATAAATAAGAAAGTACAGAATACTAGTAAGTGCTGTGTGCACATTAAAAGTGGATAGGATGGTCGCATATGGTTCTCTACGTGGGGCCAGTGGATGGACTCAGGAGAGCGAAGGGTGTAAACCACCCACGGCCAAAGGCAATGGGAGACTAAGAATCCACCCTTCTCTGCCTCTCATCCTTCTCATGGTCTGGCTCTCAGGGTGTGCTCCCCTGGAGTCCCTAATGCAGTGGCCTCTGTGTTTGGTTTCCAGGAGAGCAGCACCCTCGGCTGAATTTTCCGTGGACAGGACACGCCACTTAATGTCTTTCCTGACCATGATGGGCCCCAGCCCTGACTGGAACGTGGGCCTGTCTGCAGAGGACCTGTGCACCAAGGACTGTGGCTGGGTGCAGAAGGTGGTGCAAGACCTGATCCCTTGGGACGCAGGCACGGACAGCGGGGTGACCTATGAGGTAGGTATGTGCCTGGAGTGGTGAGTGACAAACCTAGCCCAGGCTGTGTCCTGGAGGAACTCAGCATGGAAGGGGGGGCCAGCATGGTCTCATCATCACGGACTCACACTCAGTCTGATTTGGACCCTGGAGAGTGTCCATGAAGCTGGTCAGGAGGGCACAGAGAGGGAATCTGCTAAAGAGCAGCTCATAGGCCTGCAAGGGAATAGCCAGCAAAAGGCAATGCATGGAGGAAGGGGGGGAGGGGGTAGGGGAGGGAGAGGGGGCTGGGCCATATTCCCAAGGTTTCTGGACAGCCAAGCTAAGGAGTTTGGAATCTCCCCTGAATTTCAAAATTTCTCAAATATGGTCCATACACCAACAACATCAAAATCTGGAGCCAGTGGTAGAACAATCTAGAACAGACAATGGTGACTGTGGTTTGTGGGACAAATCTAGTCTACCACCTAATTTGAAAATGAAAGTTTCGACCCCAGCCTCACATATTGCGTTACATGTGGTCTGGGGCTGCTTTCCCACCGTAACAGCTGAGCTGAGTCCTCGCAAGACACAGCTTGGCCCACAAAGCCTGAAATATTTATCATCCGACCCTCCGCAGACAGCAGTCTGCCAACCCTGGTCTAGGAGGAAGAGCTGTGGATTCAGGCCAACCGGCTCAGCCACTGCCTAGCTGGGCTGACCTCTCTGAAATCTGGCTTCTTCGTCTGGGCATAATCCTACCGCGTACATGGGAGACTGAAAATATGGGTCTGCAGATTTCCACGCACGATGCATGGCATGAATAGAATTCCATAATATCAACAGTAGTGGTGCTTGTTAAATCCCTGTCAAGGTTATTGTTCTGATCGTATTACAATCAAATTGCTTTTGCGAACAAACAACAAAAATTGCTCTTGTGGCCTTTAACCAATTCTATTCCCCACTCTCTGTATCCGTCTCTTTTCCCACTGCAGTCACCCAACAAGCCCACCATTCCTCAGGAGAAAATCCGGCCCCTGACCAGTCTGGACCATCCTCAGAGTCCTTTTTACGATCCAGAGGGCGGGTCCATCACTCAAGTAGCCAGAGTTGTCATCGAGAGGATCGCCCGAAAGGTACTGGGTTAGAGCTCACCGGGGCATAGACCTTTCCCATCAGGGGTACGAGGAGACTGGACCCCTTTCTGCTCTAGAATCACGGGGTCCCTGGCATATTCCAGGATAGAGAATCCCTGTGTCTCCCAAAGTTTCTAAAATACAAACTATTCATACGCTATAAATGAGCAAAATTAACATCATAAAAGAGTTTGATGCTGAACTGAGTGATTTGATCCAAGCAAATAGATGTCATCATGAGTTTCACAATCAATTACTAATGTCTGCCACAGGTCAGGAATGGGAAGCTGTGCATTTATTGCTATTTCTTTTTCAGTCAGATTGTATATGTCGACCCAGAACTCCGCCTTGTATACACAGGGTGGGCATTATATTTTACATCCTCCCTCATCTTTCCCACCACCTGTCCCATTCTTTAATGTGAGGCTCCAAGTACAATTCCTCTTGCAGGGGGAGCAGTGCAATATTGTGCCTGACAACGTGGATGATATTGTAGCCGACCTGGCTCCAGAAGAGAAAGATGAAGGTACGTTGTTTCCCTTCGTTGCCGGTGCCAACATAAACTGGCACGATCTTTTGGAAAAGCAATTTGCTAACATGTTTTAAAAGCCACAAATATGTTTTATCCTTTGATTTGTTAATCCCATCTTTGAGGATATCTGCTTGAGGGATAGAATCCAAAGCAAGGCCAAGACCAGGCACAGAGATTCAGGGACTTGGTGAAGGTATGATGCTGGAATACGCACTCAACAGTATCGGGCCTTTAAGATGATCACGTAAACAGCATTGCATAGGCTTCGCGGTACTCAGATCGCTCTCTGCTTTGGTTCTCATGCTGGCCTGTGAGGCGGACATGGGTGAGTCCCCTCCCCCAGCAAGAAGAGAGACCTAGATCCAGCAGTCAGGTGGGAGTGGCAGAGCCATCGCTTTGGCTCAAGTTTTCTCATGGGATCTGGAACCAGACAACCTGGGCTCTCATTCTGTGGCCTTGGGCAAGAAGCCTACCTTTCTACCACGGTTTCCTCACTTGCAAATGGAGATAATAACAGAACCTGCCTCACAGAGATCTGAAAGTCTCAAATGGGGTAAAACATGTTTGGTTCGTAGAATGGTGCTGGCACATAGTAGGTACTCAGTGAACATCAGCTGCTCTTATTCTTAGCATGAAACCTGTGTATGTATCATGATCACGGGGAAGATGAAGCAGCAACACAAAACCTGTGCTTCCGCAGACTGCCTGTGATCTGCCCACACCTGTGTGGGAACCATGTCTGCCGTGGTGAGAGACTGGAAATGAAAACACGTTCATGCGTTGAGGGGAAGGGATAGTAAGAGAATCTTTACTTATTATTAGGTTATTTAGCTATTAGTGGAATGCTAAAATGTAATTTTTAAAGGGAAGGGACTGGCTTCCATCCCAGGAGTACCAGGCTCATGGAGGCTGGTCAGCAGCAGGGGTTTTCTTGTCCCCAAAAGATCTTGTCTGGGGCGAGGGCCAGTCCCAGCTACAGGCTCCCAGGGAAAACTTGTCACATACTCTTCCTAGATGACACCCCTGAAACCTGCATCTACTCCAACTGGTCCCCGTGGTCCGCCTGCAGCTCCTCCACCTGCGACAAAGGCAAGAGGATGCGGCAGCGCATGCTGAAGGCACAGCTGGACCTCAGTGTCCCCTGCCCTGACACCCAGGACTTCCAGCCCTGCATGGGCCCCGGCTGCAGTGATGAAGGTGAGGAGACAGCCCAGGCCAGCGAGTGGCCGGCAGGAGCTCAGGAGGGCACAGTTCTGCCTGATGATGCCAGCCCCTCATACCTGGTCAGCCAATCCCTAGTGGGGCACCAGGACCCTGACTGTAGTTGTCAGTGGGGTCCACCGAGAGCAGTCCCCCACCTCCAACAGAGTCTCCAGGACTCTGAATACAGAACATGTCTTATGACATCAAATGAATTATTGAGAATGACTGACCACCCACCTCCCTCCTCAACCACGGAAGAAAACGTACACAAGTTACTGAAGCGCTAGCAAAGAGCTTGTGACAAATTACAAATAACAAACAGCCTGCTTCTGGGCCTTACCTCCGACCTCTTTTTAAGAAGCAGATGAACAGGTTGGGCGAGATCGAATCTAGGTCCATTGCCCTGATTCTGTGTCACTGACAGACCCTCTCGATGTCCGGCCTCAGCCTGAGTCAGAGCACACACTTTCCTGAGTCAGGACCCAGGGGCTGATTGCAGGAATTCCCAGACTGTCTCTCTCTGCAACTGCTCAGAGGTCAGGCTGAAGTATTCGCTTGCACCACCTATGTCGTGATGGCTCAAGCTTCCAGACGGCACTAAGCTGATTGCTGTGCAAAGGTCAGCTGCCTCCATTCCAGGGCACGACTCCTCTCTGTCGAGACAGATCTGTACTTGGTACTGTGATCAGAACGGTCTCAGAGGTGCAGTGAGGCAGTGGGAAGGGATGTCTGCACTGAGCTGGTTTATGGCAGGAAGAAAACGACTTCCAAGCTGAGGATAGTTGAAGAACGCTTACTCCACTGCAGTCATTCGCTCTCCGGCTCTTCCTGGGGGACAGTCTTAAATACCTCTCCTGGCTGCTCTTCCACAGGGGTTTTCTGTTAACTGTGCCCATGATAAGACGCTTCAGAGGGGAGTGACCCAGACATAGGCCATTCCTACCCGCGGGCAGGGAGGAGGCTGTGACAGGCCTGGCGATGTGGGAGGTGACCTCCCCTCCTTGGGGCTGGGGCTGGGGGCTGTCTGACTGAGGCCTGCAGTGGGAGCTCATTTTTACCCCCTGCACAGGGAGCAGCCCTTCCGTATACCAGTTCAGGTGGCTCCCACGTGGTAATGACAGTTTTGAAACATACTGGGCTGTACCTGTGGGGTTTTTTCCATTTTGCTTTTTTTTATTGTGGTCTATAACATCAAATTTACTGCCTTAACCATTTGTAAGTGTACAGTTCAGTGGTATTAAATACATTTACATTGTTGTGCATCCATCACCTCTGTCTATCTCCACTTCTCTTTTATTTTCAGTCTTGAAAAACTGAAACTCTGGTCTCAGCCGGTGTGGCTCAGTGGGTAGGGCATTGTTTTGTGCACCAGGAGGTTGCCAGTTTGATTCCTGGTCAGGGCACATGCCTGAGTTGTGGGCCTGATACCCGGTAGGGGGTGCGTGCAGGAGGCGGCCGATTGATGTTTTGCTCTTACATCAATGTTTCTCTCTCTCTCTTTCCCTCTCCCTTCCTCTTTCTCTAAAAATCCATTAAAAATATTTTTTTAAACTAAAACTCTGTACCTGTTAGACAATAACTCCCATTCCCCCTTTCCCTCAGCCCCCAGCAACCACCATTCAACTTTCTGTCTCTATGAATTTAGCTACTCTAGGGACCTCAGACAAGTTTAATCATAGAGTATTTGTCTTTTTGTGACTAGCTTATTTTACTTAGTCTAATGCACTTGAGGTTCATTCATGTTACAGCATATGTCATAATTTACCTTCTTTCTAAGGTTAAATGATATCGCATTATATGTAGATATTACATTTTGGTTTTTGTTTGTTTGTTTTGTTCTGTTTTGTTTTGTTCTGTTTTGTTTTGTTTTGTTTATCCTCACCTGAGGACATTTTTTCATTTTTTGTTCAGATAGAGGGGAAGGGAAAGAGAGGGAGAGAGAGACAGAAACATCGACGTGAAAGGGGCACATCGAGTGGCTGCCTCCCGCACGCACGACCCAACCAAGGCCAGGGACAAACTGCAACCGAGGTATGTGCCCTTAGCAGGAACAGAACCCGGGTCTCTCTGGACCGCAGGCAATGCTCTAACTGCTGAGCCAAACCAGCCAGGGCTAGATATTACATTTTGTTTATTCACTAGTCAGTCAATGGACACTTGGGTTGCTTCCACATTTTAACTACTATGAATAATGATACTATGAACATTGATGTACAAATTATCTTTGAGACTCTGATTTCAACACTTTTAAGTATATATATATATATATATACACACATATATATGGAATTGATGAATCATATGGCAATTCTATTTTTAATTTTTTTTGAGAAACTGCCATGCTATTTTCCACAGCGTCTGTATTATTTTACATTCCCACCAGCAGTGCACTGAATCTCTCCACATCCTCACCAACACTTGTATTTTCTATTTTTATTTGATAGTAGCCATCCTAATGGGTGTGACATGGTATCTCATTGTGGTTTTGATAGCATTTCCCTCATGATTAGTGATGTTGAGCATTTTTTCATGTGCTTATTGGCTTTTCATATATCTTGTTTGGAGAAATGTTTATTCAAGTCGTTTGCCCGTTTTTGAATCGGGTTGTTTAGTCTTTTGTCGCTGACTTTTAAGAGTTCTCTCTGCATTCTAAATGTAAATCTCTTATCAGATATGCAATTTGCAAATATTACCTCTTATTCCATAAATTGCTTTTTCACTGTTGATGGAGTCCTTTGATGCACAAAAGTTTACTTTTCATGAAATCAAATTTGTCTACTTTTCCTGGGATTGCCTGGGCCTTTGGGGTCACATTCAAGAAATCAAAGTCAAATTCAATGTCATGAAGCTTTTGCCCTATGTTTTCTTCTAAGAGTTTTATGGTTTTAGGTCTCATGTGTAGGTCTGTGGTCCATTTTGAGTTCATTTTTTATATGGTATTAGGTAAGGATCCAACTTAATTCTTTTGTATATGGACACCCAAATTTCTCAGTACCATTTGTTGAAAAGACTGTCCTTTCTCTATCGAATGGTCTTGGCATCCTTGTCAAAAATCACTTGACTGCATATGTGAGGGCTTATTTCTAAGCTCTCTATTCTATTCCATTGGTCTAATAGCCAATACCACACTGTTTTGATTACTGTAGTTTTATAGTAAGTTTTGAAATAAAAAAGTATGAGTCTTCTGATTGTATACTTCTTTTTCAAGATTGTTTTGGTTATTTGGGGGCCCTTGACATTTCATAAAAATTTTAGAATAGAGTTTTCTATTTCTGCAAATACGCCTGCCTTTTTTTTTTTTTTTTTTGGTGGTAGTTCCCCTAGCGGGAACCAAACCCGGGACTCTCTGGTCTGCAGAATGACGCTCAACCACTGAGCCAAACTGGACGGGGCAATGCACCTGCTTTTTGTACCTGAGGTCCATGCTCACCAGAAGCAACCCACCCAAAGTCAAATAAAGTTTTCTTGTGCCCATATCAGGGTACCTTCTGTACTTGATTATTTGGGGACCATTTAGAATAGGAAAGAAGCAAGGACCCCTTCAGACATTTGGAAGTCATTATATGACCGTTTGAGTGTACATTTTATTGTGGCAACCATGTCTTAAGAGTTTTTCCTAATTATCTGAGCCAGACCTTTATCCCAGGCCTTGTTATCTCTGTCCACTTCCAGCACACCACTCGAAGGATCCTTTGCCAACAAAGATCTGATCATGTCACTCCTTAGCTAAAAAAAAACCTGTGGCTCCTTATTTCCCATGTGCGAACTCCTCAGCTTAATTTACTGGCAAAACAGTCCTGCAGAGAACCAAGGTGAAGGCCTGGTGAAAATGAGCACTCTGACACTCATCCAGTGCTATTAACATTATACTACAAAACTGGAAAACACATTGTTAGTACAGGCACCTGAGGACATCTGTGTGGGTGATAGTTCAAGAGTGGAGCGTCTCAACTCCAACCTCTTCCTCTCAGAAGACACTCAGGTCGGGGGTGAAGGTAGTCTTCCTGCTCAAGGTAATGTCTTGCCAGGTTATGGGAAGTCTGAATTGGGGTTTGTCAAGCCTTGTACCTCCAACCAGATCACACTGGAACATAATGACCTTATTTGGTTGTACATGTACCTTTAGTTAGCTTTGTCTCTGGGTCTAACATGTGGGTTCCAGCTCTTATTTCTTGCTGCGCCACCAGCATTGTATAGCTACGCTGTCCAAAGATCAAATAACAATGTGTAGGCATCACACATGTTGCTTCACACTCTGATTTTACTTGTCCTTTCTAGCTTCATCTCCCAATACCATACGCATATACACTATACAGGGGTGTTTGCATACACTGTTCCCTTTATCCTAAATGTAAATATCCATGACCCAACAAAGTTTACTTGGATGTGCCCTCTTGTGTGAAATCTTCCCCAGAACTCCCAGAAGGAGTGACTTTTTCCCCTCTTCTGTGCTCTCCAATTCCCTGGACTTACCTGTTTAGGTATTTTCAATACCTAAAATTATTGTCAGTTTCTCTCTCTCTCTCTCTCTCTCTCTCTGGAGTAGAACAAGATCCATATCTTACACATCTTTAACCTCAGAGTATACCATTAAGCATTCAGTGTATTCATTGATATGAATAAATGGATCTATGGTAGATGGATGACTTCATTTTTATCTTTTTTAAGCAAGCACACACACACACACACACACACCTGTTTCCAACAGGAGCAGCACATCACCACCACCACCTTGGAAACAAGGCCATGCTGAGAGGTTTGATTATCTTTATCACCAACATCCTCGGTGTCGCCTACATGATCATGGCCTTTGCTAACACCCACTCATGGGAGCAAAGCCACGTGTAGTCCAAGACATCAACACAGAAGTCTGGCTATATTTCCTCCCTCATTCTTCCTCCATGTGCCCCTCTCCTGACACACACAGACATGTTCTCCCCACTTGCCACCCCACAATTTGCTCCCCATTAGCAGCTGGGGTCTTTTCTTCCTTGTTACCAACCTCAAATGAGGCATTGAGATGCCTGTGGCCACTTAGTACAATCTGCTCTTTGGCTACAAATCAGCCCTCGGGTCCCTACATCTGTCCCAGGACCAGTCATGCTCTCTACCCTCAGAACAAAATTGTCTCATCTGTTTTTCTAGACTGGGAACTGGCAGCTTTAGGCAATAACCGGTCTCAGGTTCCTCTGAGAAAAAGAGCTTACACAGTGTCTCAGGATAGATAGAGATACAGATACAGATACAGATATAATTTACTTCCCAGTGCTGTTCAATGGAATTTTCTGTCACAATGAGAATGTTCTATATCTGCACCATCCAATATGGTAACCACTAGGCACACCTGCCTAGTCAGCACTAAAAATGTGGTCAGTGACTGAGGAAGTGAATTTTAAATTTTATTTAATGGTCTCAGATGTATGATACATCCTAAACCATACAAGTGGATTATGCTATCTTAAATTATATGTACATTAAATTATCATATCACACATGCATTATATGTATAAAATATCCATTAAGCCAGCCAAGTATCTTTCATATGTATTATCATGGAATAAGGAGTAATCCTTACTGAGTGCCCCATGTACCTGGAAAAAGACATTTTGTTTCCTCTTAGAGAAATTTTGGTTTAAAAATGTATTCCTTTTATGTTCCCTGACATCCTCAACCGCCTAACTCCCCTTGAAAGCCTGCTGGTTCCTTCTCCATTCCTGCCCCTCAGGAGTTGGGTCGTGGGTCGCGTCTGGCGTGCCCCCTGGCGCGCGGGGCTGGGGCTGCAGCGTCGCTCCTTGCGTTGCAGATGGTTCCACCTGCACCATGTCGGAGTGGATCACCTGGTCGCCCTGCAGCATCTCCTGCGGCATGGGCATGCGGTCCCGGGAGCGGTACGTGAAGCAGTTCCCAGAGGACGGCTCCGTGTGCATGCTGCCCACCGAGGAGACGGAGAAGTGCACGGTCAACGAGGAGTGCTGTGAGTGGGGGCGCCGGGCGGGCGGGGCGGGGCGGGCGCCGGGCTCCCGAGGCACCCGACGCGACCCCAAGGCCGCGGGACTCCCCAGCCTCCAGCAGCTGCCTGATGACCGAGTGGGGCGAGTGGGACGAGTGCAGCGCCACCTGCGGGATGGGCATGAAGAAGCGGCACCGCATGGTCAAGATGAGCCCGGCGGATGGCTCCATGTGCAAGGCGGAGACTTCTCAGGCAGAGAAGTGCATGATGCCAGAATGCCGTGAGTGGACGTGGGAAGTGGGGGAGGGGACTGAGACAGGGTCAGTGTGGAGGACCACAGCCCCCCTTAGTACCACCTCCATTAAGGTCGGAGAACTGGGCAGGTGCAGGGGAAACTGTGGTCCACCATCCTTGGGGACACTGCTAGGATCAAGATGAGGGCCACAGCTGTGTGGATATCAACAGACGCAGAGAGAGTGGCCTCTTCTGAGGGACATTCTGAGCAATGCTGGAGTGGCAAATTGGTGACTACTGGATAGAACTCACCTACAGCTATGTTTATAGGACCCCAAAGTATCTTTATGAGGGTAATATTACATTTAGGTGGGATGTACATTTTCCAGGTCATCCCAGCCTCCCCAATCTTTTACCCTGCTCTATGCACAGATGCACATAGGCTCACACATCAGTACACATATGTACTCATGCACACAGTACATACACATTCTAGGAGTTTCAGCACGTGTCCAAAAACTGCAGCATTGAGTCTGTCTTTTAGTGTATGGTTCCTGGTGTGTGGGGGATGTTTCTGTCTCTAGTAAGACCCTACTCAGGTCCTCAATGGGGTTTCATGTGGGGACTTGTGTATCCACATAATTTGTGTATTCAGTATCATGTGTTATCATGTCAGCCCCCAGCAGGGCCAGGGCAGTTGCAGGAGAGTGATAAGAGCAGTAGTCTGCTGAGCCACTTCTTGCCCCACGGAGTTTCTTGAGTTCCTGAACCCATCAGTCAATTTCACTTTACTCCAGGGCCAGAGTGGGGGACGGGATTGGGGGACAAAGAGATCAAAGGAAGCAAAGCAAGCTTCTTCTTAGTGGCAAACCTGGCTCTCGGCCTAGATACCATCCCATGCTTGCTGTCCCCGTGGTCCGAGTGGAGCGACTGCAGCGTGACCTGTGGGAAGGGCATGCGGACCCGCCAGCGGATGCTCAAGTCTCTGGCGGAGCTTGGGGACTGTAATGAGGAGCTGGAGCAGGTGGAAAAATGCATGCTGCCTGAATGCCGTAAGTCCTCCAGCCCACCTCTCTGCCTCTATTAACCAGCCCTGTGCAGGATCACACTGCTGGGTCCTAATGTCCAACCGTTTGCTGGGGAGGAAGAAAGAGCATGGATTCGGACCTCTGTGTTAGCAGAGCAACTCTCAGTCAATCTCATTAGTAATGAGGGCCCCACTACTATCTACAAAACACACAAGCTGCAAGCCACTGTGGAGTCTAAACAGGAGACTTAGATGAAAAACACTTCACACAAGGCTCACTAAACCTTACTTCTTAGTTCTCTCCCTCCACCTCCGCCCCATTCCCAATTAGTGGCTGTCTGACCAGTGGCTTTTCCAAGCTTCTTAATTTTATTCCTCTTCCCTCTGACCATTTCATTTATCTATGACCAGAGGGTGGACATTGAATCAATGACTCCTGTACCCTTACAGCCTCAATAAGACCAGCCAGCAGGAAAACAAGCCAAGCTCTCAAAAGCTCACAAACCACCCCCATCTCCTCCCAAACGCTGCGGTCAGCTGTATTACATGGGGAGTAATCTCCATGGGGAGAGAGCCTGTTTTTCTGGCTAGTCTTCCAAGAGACACACTTGGCTGTGATCTGTTTCCTGGCTTCCTCTGAAATGCACTTGCAGTCTTTCCTGCTCCCTCTCCATTATCACTCAGGCTGCTTGGCCAGATTCAGATCTATTCCAGAAGCTCACAGAGTAAGGCAAGGGGCTCTGAACACGCCTGCGAAGTGCCCCCAAAGCCTTCTTGAGTCGCAGAGAGGCCAGAGAATATGGGTTATGACCTAGGTACCAACCATGTGGGCTGGATGAAGTCAGCCTGCCTCTTGGAGCCTCAGTTTCTTCTGTGAAATGGGATAACAGCACCTGCTTTGCATTCCTCATAGGCCTGTGTTGAGATGTTCAAAGGAGAGTGTAAGTGACCGTATCTTGTTTCAGACATGAGATACATTCATGCCCATCTGTGTCTTGCCAGCCATTGATTGTGAGCTCACTGAGTGGTCCCAATGGTCGGAATGTAACAAGTCATGTGGGAAAGGCCACATGATTCGAACCCGGATGATCCAAATGGAGCCTCAGTTTGGAGGCGCGCCCTGCCCAGAGACTGTACAGCGAAAAAAGTGCCGCGTCCGGAAATGCCGAAACCCATCCCTGCAGAAGCTGCGCTGGAGAGAGGCCCGAGAGAGCCGGAGGAGTGAGCAGTTGCGGGAAGAGTCCGATGGGGAGCAGTTCCCAGGTACTGCTCCCGCCTGAGGATGGAGTTCAGGGAGGTGTCAAGTGGGGCAATAGAGAGGGTCTTGAAGAACGGGTAGCAGTCTGCCAGTTAGAGAACGGCATCCAAGCAGCAGGCACAGTCATTGCAAAGGCACAGAGATACCAAGCAAAAAAAAAAAATGGACAAGATGGAGCAGAGCACAAGGGGACAGGCAGGAGACTGGGCTGGAGCGGTGGGGACCATACTGGACAAGGTCTAGTTGTCTGCTGAGGGTTTAAGCCTTAGTTCTGTAGGTGACGGTTTTAAGTAAGAGAATGACTTTTACAGACATGTTGAGTAGTTTGGAGGAGGCATAGAGGCCAGTCATTAAGTTTCATTTGTAGCCCAGGAGAGAGATTATGGGTCCCCCTCCCCGAGCATAACTTGAGGGAGTTTTAGGAATTTAAAAAACTCCCTGCCTGAGGCTTCACTGCTGAATAAGCTGGTCCAAGCCAAGACTACAAATCATAGGCAAATCCATGAAATAATCAGTTGGGAAGTCTTGGGCACAGGCCAATGGGTGGTCTTTGGATTCCCTGGAGTGGATGAGAAAGGTGTCTGCGTACATGTAAAGGTGAAGGGTCTGTTGAGCTTTTCTTCCCTTCCCTGTGGCAGTCCATCAGGGGCGATGAGAAATGTGCATACAAGGAGCTACCTGACAGTCCATGATCTCTCTGACAGCAAGCTGTTCGAGTACCAGAATGTGGTCTGTGGCATGTGGTGGTCAGTCGGCCAGTCAATATCCATTTAAGCCCCATTGTGCACCGGGCAGTCACTATGCCACGGTCTTCTCCGTGAAACTCAGCACAGTATTGAATGATGTGACAGGTGCTACAAAGGAGTCATGTGTCGAGCACCAAGGAGACTTTTTTTTTTTTAAGATCTAACCTAATAACAAGGAAGTTTTCTTTGGGAAGGAGAAATAATGAATTCAATTTGAGTTTACTTAGTATTTGGGAGGGAGGCTAAGCACTTGGGGAGCAGAGCATAAGAGAAAGAAGTGGTTGCTGCATTCACAAGCCACCCCAAACAGTAGCTACTGAAAACAGTCATTTATTAACATGATTCTGTGGCTTAGTGACTTGGGCTGGCTCAGCTGCGTCTTCTGTGGTCCAGCTTGGGCTCATTCATGTGGTTACTGGCAGCGGCTGGTTCAGTTGGGGCTGAAAGGCCTACACCAGCCTCACCTACACCAGCCTCACCCTCAGATAGGGTGGCCGGGGCCTCCCCACATGGCATTTCAACAGTCTCTCCAGGCTTTCATACATGGTGGTGAGAGGGTTCCCATCAGCTGTTTTTCAAGCCATGTTTGCTTCTGTCCCATTGACCAAAGCTCATATAATCAAGCACAGATTCCAGAGATGGAGACATAGGCAGCCCTTGGTGGAAGGAGCCGCAAGGTATTTGCTGTCTATCACCTAGGCACTAACAGTCCCTGAAATGAACTCTAACCAATATTTAATTCAACAACTCATTATATGCAAGAGTGGGGGAGAAGCCCAGACAACTAGATGTCACCGTTGTTTACTGGAGTTCAGCGCCGTCTGCCCAGCGTCTGCTGGCCTAACCGGCTTCTCCTGCTTTCAGGCTGCAGGATGCGCCCGTGGACAGCCTGGTCGGAGTGCACCAACCTGTGCGGAGGCGGGATTCAGGAACGCTACATGACTGTAAAGAAGAGGTTCCAAAGCTCCCAGTTCACCAGCTGCAAAGACAAGAAGGAGATCAGAGCCTGCAACGTTCACCCTTGTTAGCAAGGGGCCAAGTATCCAGGGCTGCACTCGAGATGCCAGACTCAGCAGTGGCTGGGTCATTTGTTTGCTTGTTTCTTTAAGGCAATTTAAATTGTGTACATTAGTTTCCATTTCTGCAATCTCCTTTGCCCAGTAGTCTTGTGGATGCCAGGGACACCCTTTCTGTATACTTCTTAGTGGGCACAGGCTGACCAGGGCTCCCTCCTCCTCAGCCGGCACTCCAGCACAGATGTGGGTAGTGTCAGCCACCCTGTGACAAACGGAAGTGTGTCCCTCTGGAGCATCCACCTGGGCGCAGGACAGAGACCCAGGCCTCCATGAAGAGGCATCTGTGTCTGGAAACAACTCTGCACCTGGTCCCGGGATGCAGCAGGAAACACGCCCCTCAGATAGACGGAGCAGGTTCGCTCTCATCTCTGGCCGCTCTCTTGCAGGAAGCTGTTGTTTGCTCATCTCTTTTCACTTAGCGGAGCGTTAGGTCCCTTGTTGAGTCCCCTCGGTCATCAATAGTTCTTGGGGAAGATGAGCTGGTAGACGTGAAGAGGGGCGCAGAGGCTGGGTGGCTTTCCTCTTTCGCCGAGAAATTCTGAATACATTTATCTCGCCTCCTAAACTGGGTCCTATGCCCCAGAGGAACTGATGGCTGCTTTATCTGAATGTAAGGTCGCCAGTTCTCACACCTGACGTAAAGGGTAACTAAGTCTAGAGAGAAGTGTTCCCTTGTTTGGGGGTTGGTGTTTTTTGTTTGTTTTTGCCACAATTCTCCTAGGAAGCCAGCCTATGAGGTTGCCGACCCGACAGCCTCGCTGGAACCGCGGCCAAGGCAGCAAAAGTGGCCTCGCCCGCGGTCTCAAACCGGAGTTTTTAAAATCTTCCAACACACATCTAGACTTTTAAGTTTTGAACCAGTTCTAACATGTTTTACTTACGCAAACATTTTGCTAAGTTTCCCCGCAGCCCACCAAGCCATTCCTTCGACAAAAATACTCTCTGTACTTTAAAGGGGATTTTTTTTAGTCATAAAATCTCACGTGTAGAAAGAGCTTTTCTTTCTTCTGTAGAAAGAAAAGGTGTTGCAAAGACCTTTAGAAGAAAGATAGAAATTTAGAAAGAAAAAGAATATACAGAATCCAGTTGGGCAAGAAGATCAGATGGGAAGTCAAACCTAGGTCAGCTCTCCACCCTCGGACTCTGGTCCTTGACACACCCTTGGGGGGGCTGTGGTTTTCCATGCCCTCCCCAGCACTGAGCACACCAAAATCGGGGAGACTGACTACCAAGGATTAGTGTAAAAGGACATTGTACTGAGTTGAGTCCATCAGCAGTTTTCACTCATTCATTTATTGTTAAAACGTTTTGTGTCTGTTGCAGGTCTTTTTCATTATGCTTAATCCAAATAAGTGTCATGGACGAGATGCATACAATGTTTTGAATACACTATTTTAAGAATTTGCATTAAACACATCAGGATATTTCCAAACACAACATATATATGTTATAGCCCTGAATCTGTATTATTTTCTTCAGCCCAAGAGAGACTGTTCAATAAAAAACTCATTTGGGTCTGTCTTCTGTGTTTTTACACTAATTACTTGTTGGTAAGTTTGGGTGTGTTTACAGTTGTTATATACACCTCAATCATTATCGGCTAAAGATTCGGCTTTTGCTCCCTCATCGTGGAAGGGCCATTACCACATCTCTGAGTTCCTGGAGCTTTGTTTCCAGCGTCATTGTTGTAGGAACATAATATAAAGAAGTAAGGGGGCTTTCTACTTAGACCAAAAAAAAAAAAGTTGTTATAGAATCTGCCCACTTTGGCAACATTACTCTTAGCTACCTAGAGGCATATTTACTCTCAACCCATGAAAATCAAAGTTCCTGCACAGCCAGTGTGGCTCAGTGGTTGAGTATTGACCCATGCACTAAGAGGCTGCCAGTTCTATTCCAGGTCAGGACACATGCCCAGGCTGTGGGCCCGATCCCCAGTGGAGGGCATGCAGGAGGCGGCCACTCGATGTTCTCTCTCATCGATGTTTCTATCTCTCTCTCCTTCTCCCTTCCTCTCTCTCTAAAATCAATAAAGAAAAAAAAATTTTTTTTTTTAATCAAAGTTCCTGAAGATAGTGATTCCTACATAACTCTAAGGACAAGCCACCCCAGTGTCTTATGTTCTTATTTGGTCCCTCTTGGTACATTTCTAATCCTAATTTTGGAAAGTTAAAACCAGGTAACTGGTTAATGGTTGAGAATAGGTAACATCTTTCTTATTACATAAATGTTATTTCTTTTGCTTACAAGGGAAAATTTATAAGAAGCATCAAATTTCTTTTTTACCAAAGTCTTGTGTTAGGAGATTTGTTTTTCTGGCTAACCAATCATTTTGGAAATAAAGACTTTTTTACTAAAAAAATGAAATTTGTTTGGACTTGCACTTAAGATAGTAAACAGGTCATAAGATACCCAGTAAAACCTGCCATAGAAAGAAAAGCTGCAATTGTTGTATATATATTTTTATCAATGTCAGACCAATTGTAACCCAATTTACATCCACATTCTCAGATTACAGTAAGTTCAGAAATATAGTCCCCAGCCAGACACTGGGTCCCTCACCTGTCACCTCATCAAATGCTTTATTTAAAGGGAAACTGTTGTAGCAAATGAGAATAAAGCCTGGGCTTCTTCGGACCCAAAATTGAAAAAAATTAAAGATTTTGTGCTGTTTTTAATTCGAACTTGGTATAGTAAACATGTTATGGGGATACTCAAGTCTGTGTACTTCTTCTCGGAAGTAAGGGCACATTACACATTCTCACGTGAAACAGTCCAGGTCAAGTCTGAGGCGGAAATGTCAATACGCAAAAATTCTCTGCGTTGAAGTACTCCTGTGACCTGACAGAAGCCCACACTGTCCAGGCAAGTTTAAAGGAGCTCAATATAAAATGTACCCGGACTGTACAGTCAGTCCCTTTTGTCCCAAACGGAGTTAAGTAATTATATCTTAAAGGAATGGAAACAATTATCCAACAACACTAAACATAAATGTTTAACCCCTAATTACAACACAGAATGAAGGAAGAAACAGGCATTCCACTAGTTATGTGGTACCACTGATTTTAATAGAATGATTCATTTTGTTCTTATATGCATATTGCCCAAAGTCGAGAGTGAATGCAAATAATTCCTTTTGAAAATGAGATGCTCTCACAAACTAGAAAGAGCAGCTGAATGCTAATGAGCATGAAGATAATTCTTCGTTTTATATCCTTTGGAAACTATGAGCACAAGATCTGTACTAAAATGTCAGATTTAAATAATGCTATCCCTGCTTTGGACACCCTGTCAATTCAGGTTTTACACATTCTGTAGGGCAAGAGGCAGATGTATACGGTTAAGCAAGGAGAACCTGGGTTCAGCACCCCGGTGCCTGAGAGCTGTGAGAGCTGGGGCCAGTTATTTTACCTTTCCTGGCCTCGGGCTTTCCAACACTAAAGGATCCTCTATCCCACCTCCCCAAGTTAGCCAGTTCTCATCTTGAGAGCAAGTCCTGAGCGGATCCTGACACAGGAGTCACTGAAAGCTACTTTTACCCACCAGCCCCTCACTTCTTTATAAACCGGTAAATGCCCACCTTGTGTGGAAGCTGGCTTGAGCTGCCTGCCTGTCACTTACAGCTGAAAATGTCCTGACAAATAACGTACACACGGCAATACTTGACCCAGGTGTCATCGGAGCAAAACGCAATTTCAGACTTGCCACGTAACATTCATATGCCTTAATGTAACTCAGCATTCACTAACATTTTCTCATATTGCTCTGAATTTTTCCTAAAACTCAGATTGTGTTCTTAACTACTTCCTGGCTTTAGAATTGATTGGTTACAGTTCTCATATTTAAGCAGATACGTGTTTAAAAGAGTTCTTTCATTTCAAATAATCTTAAGTATGAGCAGAAAAGGGTAGGCATCATATTCAAGACTACTGACAACTTTACAATAGTTGGAGTTAATAAAAGCAGAGTCTCTGTTTTAATCTAGTATCAGCAAGCCAACGCCTGCTGCGCAACCTAACCTAGATGATCTGGGAAGCCAGAGGGCACTTGTGGAAAACACCAGACTCTCCTGCTCCCTTACCTACTACATCTGTGCTCCTCAAAGCGACTTCTGCAGCCTGAGATCACCCACGAGCCCTTCGTTACCATCCTACAAGGAGATGCAGAAACTGAACAACTTGACACTGCGCAATATCCAAGAGGTTGATTGTTTCTAGTACTTCACTTTTTATTATATTTAGCAAAAGTTATCAGCCCACAACAGTCGAGATAAAAAAATTTCAAAAGCTGGCTCTTCACCGCAGATAGTCAGGGAAGCGCTACGCCATCCATCCTCACCCCCCAGTCGGGAGAGGACACCAGCATGCGGACCCTAGGCTTTCGAATCTTTCAAATGATTATGTATTTGTTTACACAGTAGTATCTACCTCCAGACTTGTATACCTACATTATCTACAACTAAGTACCCTGCACTGGGTCCTTTTCTTACTCCTCTAAAATCCTATTCGATGGGGCAAGATAACTGTTTCCTTGCCCTCTGATTCTGCTGCAGAATTTCTGAGAATAGCTCACACTTACTCCCTCCACTTCCTTGCCCTCCAATCACACCTCAACCTCCTACCACCTGGTTCCCACAATCAGATGACTGAAACACATCTCTCAAAGTCATCAGCAATCTCTGGACGACCACTGCTGTGCAGCTTACCACCACCCCTCAGCATCCTTGACAGTACGTCTCCTGGCTGTTTCTCCAGGTTCCGGCTCTCTCTCTTGGCTTTTTTGCCGCCTCTTAATCTTCTACCCCCGGTGTTCATTTTCCCCCCAATTCCTACTCGTGGACCTTCCCTCAAACACACTTCCTACTTCAATCCACTTCCACTTCTTCAATCATTAGTTCAAACTAGATAAATTCCAAATCTGCACTTCTAGTTCTAGCCTTCTTCTGAGTTCCACTCCCCATTCACAAATGCCTCCTGGACTAACTCCGCATGTAATTGGCACAATCACTGTATATTTCTGCCACTAGAGGGTTGTCTGTGTTCCTTATTCATTCATCAAATGGTTTTTCTGCACATGCTAGGAAACCTGGGCACAGCAGTAAACACAGTGGACATGTTTCTGCCCTCAGAGATCTTATGACACTAAGCTGGCATGTCAGGCAAGACCCACAAAATAATCACAGATGGTAAGCGTCACTGAGTTCAGACAGGGCTATGAGCTACTAGAATAGGTGGTCAAGAGGGCTCTCTGAGGATGTGGCATCTAAGCCAAGAGCAACGGGATGAAACAGCTCATTGGAACAGCTGAGCAAAGCAGCCGATTTGGAAAACACACGGTGTATTCTAGGGTGTAACAAAGCAAACAAAGGTGAGAAGCAGGAAGATGCCAGTTCCTTGTACACTGTGGTAAGAAAGGTAAATATTAGCCCAAGTGCACTGAGATGACGACGGATTTTAAGCAGCAGTGTAACATTTCATTATGGTCTAAAACGTATCCCTTTGTGGGGGCAAAGTGGAAATAGACTACTCTAGAGGCCATTATAGTAACCTGGGTGTGAGATAAGGGGCTGAGACAAAAGTGGCAGAACAAATGGGGAGGGCAGGTTCCATGATTCCAATACCCTCTTGCCTGATCACCCGTCCTTCAGTCCACACTTCTCTGCTGCTCACACTACCACTGAATTAGATCTACGTACCCCTTGTTCAGAATCCTTGGCAGTTTTCCATTATAGACAGAGGACCATCCTATTGAAAGCCCTCCACCGCCCTAGCTAAGTCCACTTCATTGTTTTTCCCATTACACTTAAAGCCCTTTTAGGTTAAGGTTCCAATCTCAGAATACACCTTGCATTCTGGAGCCTCTGTGCTTTCTTCCAGGCTTCCCCCAGCCTTTCCACCTCCTCTCCTACCGACCCACGAAGCTCCAGCAAAAACAGCACTTCTAATCAAGAAGCTCCCCCAGATTTTCCAGGAGGAACACATAGTGTCACTGTTACTGAACCCGACAACTTTCTGCATGCTTCTCATAGTCTGCCTTATCCCCTGGCATTTGTTTTTGTCCCTTAATCTTCCTCTACTAGATACTGAGTAATTTGTAGGAAGAAAAGCGCCAATGTATTCATTTCCCCAGAACGCCTAGTCAAGTCTTGTGTAAAGAAATCTGTTCAGGACTTCCGGTCAAGATGGCGGGCAGGTAAACGCGGCATCGCGTCCTCCCACAACCACATCAAAGTTACAACTAAACTACAGAACCACCATCATTCAAACCCGCCTGAAATCAAGCTGAATGGAAGTCCTACAACTACGGAATTAAAGCAGCAGCCACATCGAGACTGGTAGGAGGGGCGGAGGTGCGAGGGGCTGGTCCCACACCCACGTGTGGCGGATAAAAATCAGGAGGACACCTCGGCTGGGAAGGTCCTCCCTGAGGACTGAGGGGTCCCCGTCCCACACCAGGTGCCCCGCTCAGGGTTCTAGTGCCAGGAAGAGAATCCCCATAATTTCTGGCTGGAAAAACCAGCGGGAACTGAGGCTCAGGGAAGCTGACGTGGCTGGAGCCCCAGGCAGCTCCTTAAAGGGCCCGCGCACGGACTTATCAGACTCGCACCCTACAGACTCCAGCGTGGGGGAGGCAGCTCGAGGGGCGCCAGAGAAATACAGGGAAGAACTGAGTTGTTTGGCATTGGAGTGAGGGCTGGAGAGGGGGCTTTCTCCAGGACAAACGTGCTGTAAGAGGCCTTTGTTCCTTTGGTGAGTCCTTCCCTGGGGTGGCAGACAGCCGCCATACCTGGGGCTCCAGCAACTTGGCTCACACTGGTAGCCCCGCCCTGCTGACTCCCTGAGGCCC